TTCGTCGTTGTCTTTAGGCCCGGACACCGAATCAGGTGGGCCTTCTCCATTTCCTCCTGTAGGCCACATAGGGAGGCATGCTAGTTGAGTGCATACTCCCAATCTGTGAAGGTGCTTTGCCAGGCAATGGTGTCCGGTACGTAGTCTAAACTTAGCAACGGCTTCGATTCTTGGCCAGTCGGCTATGTCGGAGAGTGCCACTGTCCACTGTTTCTCCTTTGTTCGAGATTTAAGGTCGTTGCACCTTGAGGTCTTGAATTCTCTTCTGATTAAGGCCTTCATTGTGTGGAAAGACATCGGCCGGTCCATGCCTTGCAAAATTGTTGTCCCCTTCTTAGCAAGTGCGTCAGCAAGCCCAGGAGTCCATTGAAGCACCACTGGTTTGTTTTTTCTCTCAGCAGCTGATAGAGTTTTTTATCTTATTAAAAATAGGGAATTCCAATTATGTATGGTGCTCCTTTGACGGAGCTTCAACTTAGACGTCAACGACCATGCCAGGAATCAAGAACTCAGGAACCACTGGTGATTGAGGAAGAAGTTGGGACTTCCGCTCACCTCAAACTTCGCTTTAATCTTCCCGGATTTATTGAGGATTCCCAAGAAAACTGGCTTTTTCAGTGGAGATTTTTCATTAACCATTGTTATGAGGATGACTTCCTTGACTCTGAATTTGCTGTCCGAAGAATGATTGAGATAACCCAAACGGGCTGTGATTTGGTGGGCACATTGAAGATAATTCCACAAGTAGAACTATCAGCAATATTTACGCCAACTAGATCCTTCAGGTAATTTGTCATATAACTACTCGGTGACAAAATGTAATTACTTATTAGATTAAATTTTGAAATAAAATTTATTGACTTTCGCTACAGGATATCAGCCTTTCTTTGCATCATCTCCAAAGCTGGTGGAGCGTGGCAATTCCCGATAATTTTAAAGGCACATCAATCCACAAAGTTGGAACAACGTTTGCAATTTACGACCTCAGATCCTCAATCACCCGATTTCAGAAAATTACACTTGGATAGTCGAGAATTGTAAGGCTGTATTTGAGTTTCCAATCGTTACATTAATAGAAAACCCACCAAATTCAAGGCTTTCTTTGAGGTACTAAAAGGTGGAGAATTCGTTCTTGATGCTACTGAAGGCATTCTTCCAGCACATGGTTCTGGTTATTTCACTTTAACTATTAGGTTTTTAAAAAGAAGAGGAGGCATACCGTTAACAGAGCGACTTGTTATTCAGGTAAATGATTAATGTCTAATTTGAAGGTTTTTTTCATCTTGACATTCTACTAAGATCTATTTCAGCTTAGAAGTATGTTGAAATAATTGAGATTGGGCAGTCATCTGAGCACCAGTTAACTTTAACAACTATATCATGTAGCGGATTGTCACACTAATAAGCCTTGACTATACTCAGGAATCTCTATCGCAGATTCTTCTATGCTTTAAAAGGCTCTCAGAACCAGATGAACTGCCGCAAAGTTGAATAGGAAACAGACCTATGACGTGGAACGCGTTTATTCGATATGGTGTGCTGCACGTTGATGATGTGGAACTTAATCCGTATATACACTTTCTGACGTGGTAACCACGTATTGACTCTGGTCATTGATTGGTCGAGAAGGCCTCCAGTCACGTTACAATAAAGTGGTGTTCCCACAACCACCGCTTTAGCCATGAGTGCGGATTCTCCGGCAATCTTCATTTAAATCACTTAGTTATCTTTTAGACACCCCGACTGGAGTGGATATATGAACTGACTGGTTAAAAAGTTCAGGAGGCAAGGCCCAATCAGAGGATTCGCTACATTTTCTAACGAAGCACAAACATCACTACTTTGAATACAAATCAGCACAAACACAATAATCAAGTGGATATTTCTCTAACACTACTTTAATAAATTATTGCTAAACGTGCACCGTGGTTAAGATGGTGGAAGTCAGAATTATAATCTATAGCATTAAATATTGAGAGTTGATGTATGACAACATTCAGTAAGACTCAAAATATATAATCCAGATGCAAGAGGTTAAAATCAATAAATGGACAGAGTAACTTAGTGAATAGATAGGATAGTAGAATTTTAAGCGAATTGACTCAGGAATGTTCTTGAATATACCAAAGGATGGAATATGGCAAAGCGAGTGTTTTAAACACGCTGCACTCAACTCTCCCTTCGGTCTAAGAACAAGTGGTCTGATGAATGTTAAAATCCAACAAACATCGATGGCGTCCTTGGAAGTGCCACATAACTCCCTTAAAAACCGCCATTTCCAACGAGCACCATGTTGAACTCATTGTTGGACAAAGCGAAACTAAACGTGACTAGATTCAATTCAATCACATGATCTACTGAATCCCTTTCAGACACAAGTTAAGTGGTTTAACTGACTATCTACAGTAAAGTTAATTACAATAACTTCCAGTATTTACAAGTCCAGTTTTGTGATCTACTGTATATTTGACACACAAATTCATTAACCTTCGAAATTGCAACAACATCCACTTATAACGCATGTTCCTTCAATAACTTGATACGCAGAACATTTAAATTGCCCTCGTAAGGAAACGCC